TAGACCTCAACCAAAAGTGAGGTCAACACTTGGATATTGTTTTTCTCTCAAAGCTTTATCAAGGTTGTCTGCTACCGTAACTTGTAGTTTTAGTTGCAGTTGGTAATTTCACTCAAGTTTGTTTTTTTCATTTCAGGCTGAGCTTATAGATCCTGCAGTGAAGGGAACCCTCAATGTGTTGAATTCCTGCTCTAAATCATCTTCTACTGTTAAAAGGGTAGTAGTGACTTCATCGATGGCAGCTGTTTCGTACAATGAAAGACCTCGTAATCCTGATGTTACAGTGGATGAAACATGGTTCTCCAATCCAGATTTATGCAAGGAAAAAAAGGTTGGTAAAAGCAACTCCATAATGTTGTCTGTTTGTGTTGTTTGTTGATTCATTCATTCTATAAGTTGTAGATGTTTATAAATTCAAGGATTTATACAGTTGTAGCAGAGAGAAATTGGGCCTAAATTAGAGTTTTTGAGTCAACCTATAAGTTATGGATGAATATTAGTGGCCATTAAGTCAAATATACGAGACAAACATCAATCTCTAATCTCCTTCCATTAACTTTTATATTTGCATGAATTTAGCGAAAGCACGATCTTTTATTATAGATCCTTCAGCCATCGCAATTCTAAGTTTATAATTTAAAAATGAAATTTTTATGAATGATTTACACACAGACCACTCAATTCCTATATATTTACATATCTAACTCATAAACTTCAATTTTTTACATACATCCCACCATACCTATGCATGAAAAAGGTGTATTTCACTTTTTAAAATTTAAAATGTGGTATTTTTAAAGTGACATGAAATATTTGGGCGGTATAAATGTAAAAAATAAAATTTAAGTTTTATATATGATAATTCTTGTTCTAATGGATGTATATGACCATTTGGCAAACGGCTTCACTTTCCTGTCCATCTTTTCTTCACAAATTACATCGTTATGCTGTTCCTTGTCATATCAGTCTAATTTTTTTTCTCTCAGGTTTGGTATGTTTTGTCAAAGACATTGGCAGAGGAGGCTGCTTGGAAGTTTGCAAAAGATCATGATATTGATTTGGTTACAATAAATCCTGCGATGGTCATTGGCCCCCTTCTTCAGCCAACACTTAATACAAGCAACGAAGCAGTACTGAAATTAATTGATGGTGCGTAAATATAGTCTTTGGTTTTTAAGATTAATCAGTATCTATTGCTTGTTGGTATGTTTGCATATCATACATTTTTAACATTCTGTGGATATCTATCGCAAGAAGATGTATTTTTGGGGGCATACCATGCAGTTGCTATGTATGTACATATCTAACAACTAAAACTTATTTTTTACATTTATACCACCTAAATCTTTCGCATCAACATATAAAATACCACCTTTTTTTTGCTTTTAAAAGTGAAATACACCTTATCATGCATAGGTTCCGTGGGATGTATGTAAAAATTGAATTGAGAAATACTCATAATTTCTCTTATATGACCATTTGCTATTGTTTTCTTCATCACCATCAACATTATCATTTGTGATTTCCAATATAATTTCCTTCTGCACCTATTTATATATTTTTTAACACAATTGCCTATCTAATTTATTAAAGAAAAAAGAGGCTTGGAGTGTAAATTTTTAATATATCAATTATAATAAAATGTGTGCCATTATAGGAAGTAGTTCGTTCCCCAATGTAACGTTCGGATGGGTTGACGTAAAAGACGTTGCTGAAGCACATATTCTGGCATTCGAAAATCCTTCCGCAAGCGGACGCTATTGTTTAGTCGAAAGAGTGCTCCACTTCTCTCAGCTCGCCAAGCTCATCAAAGAACTATATCCTTCCATTCAAGTTCCTGAGAAGTAAGTTCCAAAAAATAAAATTTATTTATTTATTTATTTTATATGATATATATCTGAAATAAAAATGTTTCTGATGGCAGGGCTGCAGGTGATGAGCCCTTTATCCCAACTTATCATGTTTCGAAGGAGAAGGTGAAGGGGTTGGGTATCAGCTACAGGCCATTTGAGGAGAGCCTCAAAGAAACTATAGAGAGCTTGAAGGAGAAGGGCTTTGCCAAGCTGTGAGTAGTTGGAATGAGAATGGAGAAATTAATTACTCTGAATTCTGGTACTGTTGCAAGAAAATAACTTTTTTGTGCTTTATATTATGATAATCAAATTTGGATTTTGATGAAAAAATTTCTACGTTTTTTGCATTTTAGATGTTGCTTCTGCTTAGTTATGATTGCATTTGGTCCAAGTTGGGTTTTTTTTTTTTTTTTTTTTTTTATAATTTTTATGAAGTTTGAAGGATGCACCTAATTTTTTGATTAAAAATGATTATAGGATTTTTACAAAGCCGTCCCAAGGGGGCATTTATATACATACCACAATTCTTATGTATTTACATACTAATAATAACATATGACATTCTTATTTACATGCGACTCAAATTATTAACATCGCATAAAAATTATCACCAATTAAAAGTGAAATGTGTTTTTTAATGAATAGGTTTATGAGATTAGAAGTGTTGTAAGTTTAAATATAAAATTATGGGTGTTAGATATGTAAATACACAAGAATTATGTGGTATGCATGTAAATTTTCTTAAAATAATTAGTGCACTAATGCCAATTTGTGAATAATACCGTCGTGAGTCAGTTGATATGCGTATAACTGTGAATAAGTATATTTGAGGGGGATAAATTATTTTTCCTTAATTATCAATGCAAGTGTTTTTATTATGCATTATAAAGTATTGTCTCATATTAGATTAGAGGAGAGCGCTATGTAAATGGAGAAATATTTGTGTATGTAAGATGTACGCAGAGCTGCGTGCATCTTGTAGGTTATAGGGAGGGTAGTGAGAATTATATTCGCGTTATACCTCTCGTAACCTCTCTCCCTGTAACCTGTAACTAGTAAGTTTCACGTTTCTGTTTTCATATATTTCTAAGTTACAGATTGGTCATAGGGATGGAGGTTACAGGAGGTATAACGCGGATATAACCCTCAATACCCTCGATGTAACCTACCAGAGGTACGTAGCGCTGTGTACGTCTTAAGTACGCAAATTTTCTCCTGTAAATAGGTGAGGACACATGTTAGATGCATATCGAAATTTAGCAGATATGTTGAAATTAAATTATAAAAATTATTTACAATAAATAATCATGACAATCATATCTTGTAAGGATGATATGATGATTAAGACTCACTTTAATCTTTATTCCTTATTTTTTAAACATTAGAAAAAAGCATTAGATAAATGCATGTCAAGACATTTGAATGATAACAAAATTAAAATAACATTCTATGTCCCTTAAATCATAAAGAAGTACAACCTTTTGTGGGTATGTTCACGTCAGATTACACATCCAATATTTCTAATTAATGTTTTTGGCTCATACATTAACTTATTCAGTGAAGGTTGGAAGTATGGATACAATTATACAAACGATACATGCATTAAATGAAATAAATGTATAGAAAATGAGTGTGACGATTATGACAAATTAAATTTTGTGATATGGTTTAATATTACTTATATTTTTATTATAAATGACATCAGTTGAGAAGAGTCTACTCGAAGATTAGATTTTTGCATATTAAAAAAGAGTAAGATTGTTTTAAATCCTCCAAGAAGGACATATAAACAATAGCATTAGCCCCCAATCCGACATGTCGCTTCTCGAATCCCTTGAAGATAAACCTCATTTATCAAGTATCAAGCATGAACATGCTGATTAATTTCATGACAATCAAGCAAACAACTAGAATGGAAGTGGCTCTCCCATCATTGCATGATTGACCTCCTAGGCTCCTACCTCGCATGAAAAGCACATGACGAATATAGTCAATCGAAATAAACTCCACTCTCTTATAAACATGTATACCTGGCTCTCCTTCAAATTAACATGCGGGGAATCTTAAGAGTGCTTCTACTTGCCTTAAAGAATTGTTTGTCTCCTTCTTGATTGGATTCAGTATGCAGGGCTGTCAAAACGGTTTGTTGTTCGCGAACAGCTCGTGTTCGGCTCGTTTGCTAAGTTAACGAGCCAAAAACAAACAAAGATTTGTTCGTTCGTGTTTGACTTTATTTTGGCTCCAAATACTACTCATCAATTATATATATATATTGATGAGTAGTATTTTTTTAAAATTTAATTGACTCCAAGGCTACAAAGAATTATAATCAATTAAAAATATTAATTAAGAACATGAAATAAAAAATATTAAATTAGATTCAAATGATGTTTTAATATAAACAATAATTTTTAAATCTTGTCACAACCCTTAACATCTTATGGCTACATGATTATGGTTGTCAAAATGACTCTTTGTTTGTGAATAACTTGTGCTAAGTAAATGAGTCGAGCAAGAACACACTTTTTGAGCTCAAAATATAAACGAGCTGAACAGTAGTTGAGCCTGGGCTCGCTCGTGTTCGGCTCGTTTACACCCCTATCAATATGTGCTTATATCAAAGTGCCACTCTCCTGTCTTGAAAGGTTTGGTTGACCTTTTTCCTAACTTGATTTTAAAGATATCTCAATGGCACTCTCCTTCCACATAAAGCTATGGCTGACCCCGCTTGCAAGTAAAATGAAGATAACAATAAGGAGGTTAGATTATCTCTATGTAATACTTCTAGTAGCTCCATATATGCAAGTATTAGGTAAGCTTGAATCACATTGAAGTATTACTAAAAGAGTTTTTGCTTATTTGCAAGTGAATTTGAAGTTGCTTGTGGCATCTACTTCCATCTAAGGTTCTTTGGTGAGATCTTCATTAAAATTTTGTGCTTTGTTCATTATTTCATCTCCTTTCTGTTCTAGTCTCTCTAGGCCATAATCTAAACCCTACAAACTTCAATACCAATATATTAGTCTCCACATAATATCACACCACCATTCAATCCTAGAAAAATCAATTCATAGTGATTTGATTAAGATTGAATGAATAAATTCCTAGATATAAGTTGTATTTATAGAAAAACAAGATAAGTAAAGATGCTAAAAAACTATAAACTATATGAGAAGATATTTGCCTTATTTGCATTCATTTAATAGTCTATCACATCATAAGGATAATTAATAGGTAAAAATCATGATAAATAATGCACTAAAGACCACAATACCCCCTTTTGCAATAATGGAATTCCTTATCCTTAAGTGTAATTAGAGAAGTAAGGTTCAAAGTTCTTAAATTACTTGAATATGAATTTGGAAGTTATTAGGTGTGGAGTCTGATTTGGAGCACCCGCACACACACGCTAAGGACAAAGCGCCCAACACTTTTGCGTCACGTTGTGGGCACCCAAACGCCCATTCTAGAGCTCAACAGAGAAGAGGGCACTCAAGGATAATTAATAGGTAAAAATCATGATAATTCATGCACTAAGACTACAAAACCCCCTCTTGCAATAATGCCCTTGCTTATTCTTAAGTGTAATTTGAGAAGTAAGGTTTAAACTCCTTAAATTACTTAAATATGAATCCAGAAGTTGTTAGGTATGAGACTGATTTGGAGTACCCGCACAAGCACGCTCAGGACCGAGCAACCGACACTTTTGCATCGGGTTGTGGGCACTTAAGCGCCCACTCTAGAGTTCAACAGAGAATGGGTTGTGGGCACTTAAGCTCAAGTGCCCAATTTAGGTTGGGTGCTCCTGTTCGCTTTAAAAAGCACGACGCTTCCGGGCCAAGTTCGTGCGTCTACGCACCCGGAGCGGTTGGAGCAGGATTTTGGTTTAAGAGGCCAAATTTCGAGCGGCGTGAGTTTACTTCTTCCTTAGGTGTTCTTCGATAAAAATCTAGGTGAAGATGACAGGTGTCGGAGAGAACGATTTCGGTGATTTCGATGTGCTTTTCTCTCGTCAGATAGGAGAAAAAAAGTTTGGAGCGAGGTCTCACAAGTTTCCTTGAGAGAGGAGAAGAAATTGAGTGTGGTCTCTGTAAGCCCTTTGATTTTCATAGTGAAATTTTTATGGTGGTGTGGCTCCGCGGTTTTTTCCTATTCTCGGATTTTTTCACATTAAATTCTCGCATTTTTTTCTGATTTTTTTTTTGTGCTTCTATTTGTAAGTTTATTCCGATTTTTTTGAATTTATGCTATTCTATTCTGTGGTGTGGTTTAGATTTCTAATTAATCTAAGCCCCAGTGAATTTGCAAGGAAATTCTTCCAGGAATTTCCTCAATAGAAGTGACATTTTCTCCTCTCTTTATACATGTAGATGCTCCCTCTTCTCAAGAAGTTGGGTTTGAAATTTGAATTTATGACCTTTTTTGAAACTTGAATTTATGACCGTTTGATTTGCTATCATGTGCTTGATGGACCAAATCTAACATTTGGGCTTGACTTGAGCTTAATATGTGCTTGATGTAGCAAACCTTAGGATTGGTCTTTCGTGAAAGAGCTTCAAAAATTTTGATCATACGAAAATATAAAACAACAAAAAGCATAATAAATAACAAAATGAAGAATTATCCAAAAAACATATTGGCACCTAATTAAAAAACTATAATCCTAAAATAGTTGATAGAAATTTATGCTTTATGAGAATCCTGCAGTTTTAAATAAAATTAAAAAAAATTATTACATCATTTGATTTAAGTAAAATATCAACCATGTGAAACAGAGTAAGATAATGATTAATGGAAGTTGTAGAAGCCAAAACAAAAAGAGATTATGTTAAGCAATTAGGGAGTGTGAATTTGGAGTTGGTCCTCATGCACTTGCAATCAAACTCATAATCATCACACCAATAATTAAAACTATTTTCAACCTAAACATTAAGTTCAAAAATGACAGGTAATCACTAGTGTTTCTATATCAACATATTATTCAAGTATCATGCATGAGGTTAAACTCAATACTCTCACATTTCTAAACTAAAGTAAATAGATTAAAAGACTAAATAGAAACTACAAGAAGTGGACATTTTACATTAATGCATGCCAACTCATTATGCCGAAAACTTTGATGTCGATGAAGCATGTATACATCTAAGATCATAGCAAAGATCAACAATAGTGCACTAAAAGATATGAAATGCAGCCCACATAAACTATGTACATCAAAATAATCAGCATCATGCATGCATGTATGGTTGGTTCCTCATGCTATACAAATTATCAAGGCTAGAATAAACCATGCATGTATAAATTGGTTCTTTCCTCATATTTGGATGAATCATATATACCATTCAATCAAGTTGGTATTTCACAGTAAATCCTTAACTAATATTATTTCTAAACTTGGAATCGCAGATGCTGCTGGCAAAGTTCAACCAGCATTACCTGTAAAGCATTCGTCTAATTCTGGACAGCTGATTTTAAACTCCACGCATTTGATGAGAAAAATAGATGATTTTCACTTCAAATAGCTCTTTTTTTCATTATTATAACTTATGCTATGAAACTTCGCATGCAATTTCATCCAGTACATCCATCATCAGAGATTAAGCAATGTAGGGTACATATCCAAAAGCTTTAAGCATCAATGTCAAACAATCTAGCATTGAATAAATCACATCTGCTTCTTGATGCTCCAATCCTTTTGCTATAAACACATGAACCTTCTTCTTCACTTCAATCCAGCTATAACCAGGCTCCTTCACAGCCCCTATTTGGTCCATCCTCTCCCTTACTTTCTCCACCTCTTCCCACATACCCTTAGAGGCAAGCATATTAGACATTAGAACATGTGACCCACTATTATTCGAATCTAACGAGATTGCCTTCCTCGCTGCAAGCCTTCCCAACTCAACATCCCCATAAACTCTGCAAGCACTTAACAAGCTCCTCCATACTGCTGCAGCAGGTTTTACTGGCATCTGTTCAATGAATTCCTTTGCCTCTACCAATCTCCCTGCACATCCCAAAAGGTTAACTACAGAAGCATAATGCTCCATCCCTGGTTCAATTCCAAAACCATTTTTCATAGCACAGAAGTGGGATAATCCTTCCTCAACTAGCCCGCCATGGCAGCACGCTGTAAGCACACCAACAAATGTTACATAGTTCGGCGCCACTTTCTTACCTACCATTGACTCGAAAATCCTAAGTGCTTCTTTGTAGTGCCCATGCTGTGCAAACCTGGAGATCATCGAATTCCAGCATGCAACGTCTCTTTCATTTATCTCTTCAAATAAAGTCCGAGCATCCTCGATACTTCCACATTTTGCATACATGTCAATAAGCGCATTCAAAACATGTGAATCAAATTCTAGACCCACTTTCGTAATTTGAGCATGAAACTGTGAACCGTGGAAGAGACTAGCGAAAGAGCTAGCCATTGCAACAACTGAAGTAAAGGTAAATTCATTAGGCCTCATTCCAACAATGAAGAGTTGATGGAAGAGTTTAAGAGCTTCTTCACCTTGACCATTCTGAACATACCCAAACAGCATAGCATTCCACATGACTAAATCCCGTTCTTCCATCTCATCAAAAACTTTTCTTGCATCATCAATATATGAACATTTAGAGTATACATCAACCAAGGCGCTTCTAGCAAAAGGTTCCAATGTTACACCGGACTTAATTATCAAGCAATGAACTTGCTTGCTGGTATCCACCATGGACAATGACGCACAAACTCCAATAACACTCACGAAAGTTAGAAGGCTTGGATGTAAGGAGAAGGATCTCATCCTGTTGAATAGAGTGAAAGCCTCCGAAATCTCATCATGTCTGGCATACCCTTCCATCATGGCATTATAAGAAACTACATCTTGTTCATTCATGGCATGAAACAAAACTTTTGCATGATCTAAAGCATCGCATTTGGCATACATGTCAATGAGTGCATTATTTACATATCCATCAAACCACAAATAAGCTTTTATGGTATATGCATGTACTTCCTTACCATGTTGTAAAGCAATTAAAGAACCACATGAACTCAGAGCACTCGTACAAGCAAATGCATCAGGTCTCCATCCTACCCTGTTCATTTCAGAAAACAAAGCTAGTGCATCCATGTCATATGAATTCTGCATATAGCCAGAAATCATAGTGGTCCAAGACACAAGATTTCTGGAAGAAATCCTCTCAAATACCTTTTTGGCAGTTCCAACCTTGGAGCACTTACAGTAAAGATCAACCAGCACGTTATTAACAGAGACATCCATCTCAACTTCCCTTCTATATACATAACCATGGGCTTGCCTACCACCTTCGAGAAATTCCATGGCTGCGCAAGCGCTTATCAAACTAGAAAGGACAAACATATCAGGCTCCACTCCTGAGGCCTTCATCTGGCTAAACATCCTAAGGGACAACTCATGTCGCCCCATTTGACAGAAGCCTGACAAAATGGCAGTCCATGTAACAGAGTTCCTAACTGGGAGCTCCTCAAATATCACCATGGCTTGTTCCATGCACCCACTCCTTGAATAGAAGTTAATCAGTGCAGTGCCCACAAAAACATCCAAAGCCAAACCAGTCTTAACGGCAAGACCATGAACTTGAACCGCGCAACCAGTAAGAACTTCTGACTGACAACAGGCTCGCAGAATGCTGGAAAGAATGAACTCATTGGGGTTTTCTGAGAAGGTGGAGGACCTTCGAAAGCATGAAAAGAGGAAAAGGGCATCTTCAGCTTGGAAATGCTGCGTGTACATGGAGATCATGGAGGACCATGATATGATGTTCCTTTGAGGCATTCCATCGAACAGTTGGCAGGCTTCGTGGAGAAGGCCGGATTCAGAGTATCCTTTGATGAGTAGATTGTTGATGAAGAGGTCGGACCGGAGGCCGGCAACAAGGGCTTGTGCGTGAATTGGTTGGAGAAGATGGGAGCGGAGGGGAGGGCTTGAGATACATGATTGAAGGAGGTCAGCGATAATGGCTGGAAAATGGCAGGTAGAAGAAACCAGGGAAAGTGCTGGTTTAAATTTAAATATCATGCGAACTTGGCAACGGCTAGTTTGCTTTCATGGAGTTTGCAGGGCAAATCAATAAGAAAATTTGCTTAAAATATAGAATTTATAACAGCGATTAACTAAAGCTCATGAGAATTAATTACAACACCAAGAAACACTGAAGAAATTAAGTTAAAAAAAAATTCAGGTTAATTAAGAATTTTGGTTATTAATATTTATTTATTTTTCATTATTAATAACGAAGTGTGCAACACTATCTTTTACAAACAACATACAAAACTCAAACAATTAATATCAAATTCACAAATAACAGAAATAAACATCAATTGTATAAAATATTAATACAATAAATAATGAATCTCTTTAATAATCATTACAATTAATAATACGATGAATACTAAAATCACCTATAATATCGCATTCATAATTTGTTTCCTCAACTCCATTCCACTTATTTGGGTGCTACGGTGCTAGAAAATGAAAAGAAAGGATCTATAAAAACAAAGAATATAGCATTATGGTACCATATTTTGAAATTATTTGGCATCGAGAGAGCTAAAATCAGCCAAAACAATGAAATAAAACTTAGAAAGACCGTGAGGAAATATTTAATAGGTGCAGATAAAATATGTGTGGAAGGTGTAAATTTCATTGTATTTTAGTTGTATTAATACAACCAATACAACTAAAATACAAAGAAATCCGCATGTGCAGACTCTGCACCTTCATGATCTTCACAATCTGTATGTTGTATTGGTTGAATTGGTTATATTGGTTGTATCCTACATGCAAGCTCTAAATTTACATAAATATTTACTTATACAATTCTAAAGTTTATTCAGTCTCTAAATTGAAAATTGAATATCTTAAGTAAATTGATAATCACTAACTGGACAGATTTCCTGGTAACAATCACAATAAAAATTGGTAATTCATAAAATATTATGTTTATTTTATCTTGTTAAATTTACAAATTTGTCACTCAGACTTAATCCAAACCATTCTCAACTATTGTCTTAAGAATCTGAGCAGCCAAATAGGATTTGCTGATCTGAGTATGACCCAAAATTGACTGGATCCGACTCTAGTAACTCATTTAATATAAGCATAATAGTTATTTAGGCCAAATTCAAGTCAAGTTTGAGTTGGTGGGTTTGATTCATGTCAACTGCGTCATTCATATGTCAAGGTGTCGACAAGTCCACTTAAAATTGACAAGAAAAATTAAAAAATGTTGTGATTTTTTACCCGAACCCGATCTATAAATTAATCAAGTCAACTTGAACCCAAATATTTTGAGGCGGGTTCGAGTCAAGTCAACTTATCGGGTCGGTTTTTTGACACTCTTACTTAAAATCATGTCATGCTTTTTTTTTGGCCACTCAAATTAGGGTAATAAAATGTTCAAGTGATTATATTTTAGGTCATGTTACATACTTACCAAACAATTCTTATGTATTAACATATCTTGCCTAAACATTCATGTTTACAAGCACATTACTCAAATCTCTATAATACATTATAAATATCACCATCACCACCAAAAAAGCCTGAAGTCATTTAGTCCTTTTAGCTAATTGAAAAGATACAATCTTACTGCCTTTTTTTTCTTTTGTTGAATAATAAAGATTATTCAACTCCCCTCAATTTTTATTGATTTTGGTTCATTTAGAAAGGGCATGGCTTCTTTTGAGAGACAATAACATTTGGTAAATTTTCACCGTTTTCATATCATATATTTCCTCCTCCGATTGAAAAAAATATTTCATCTGCATGTCTGCACGGAGAATCACTAGCGGCTATGTCACCCTACGTTGACGTGTATGACAACGTGATCGTTGGTGGTTGGACGTCTAGATGTGTGACATCCGAACGAAATATTTTCTCTTTCCGATTTGACAAACATGAACATTTTAAAGAAATTTACTTCAAACAAAAGCTATATAGGTTGCCCTTCCAACATGATGTGGTCATCATTTATGCCATCACATTCAAGTTGTATTATCATCACTAAGATAAGAACTGAAACTCATCGCATCATCTCTAAGATTTTAACTTTAAAAAAGTAATTAATTCAACGATCTTTTTTGAATCAATATCACTAAAAATAATATGTAAATATGCACAAAGATTTTTATCTTTATAAATCTTACATTCAGAAATTCGTACATATCTCCTTGACAGATAATGTTTGCCCATCTGCCGCGTGTCAGTTTGGCAAGTGATATCCGGGTGGCAAAGCAACACGTGGAGCTTGCCATGCACACACGTAAGCAGTGCGACGGTCGCGTTCTGCATGCAATCTGAAACACTAATCCTATAGCCATTGCTCCTCTTCTTAAAAGCTTCTCCATCATTTTCTCTCTGTTTCATTCTCTGTTCTGTACTGCTTTAAGGAAGAAGAAGAAGAAGAAGAAGGAAGAAGGAAAATGAGCGAGCTCAAATCAGAGACGAGAAATCTGATAGACGACTTGAGAAACTTTGACAAAGGTTCGCTCTTTGACTTGGGCCATCCTCTCCTCAATCGCATTGCCGATAGCTTCGTCAAGGCTGCAGGGGTCAGTTTTCTACACTGCAATTTTACCATTTTTATATGATTCTGTTTTTGCAAAAAAAAAAAAAAATAGTAGGAAAAAAGGACCGAGTATAATTTCATTGAATAGGTTGTTAGAGGTTTGGCTGCGTACGTTAAGTCAAGTTAACCCCACTGTTGGTGGTCAGCGATTTTGAGAGTGATCCTTTGATTTGTGTGATTGACTTTAGGTTTGGGCTAGTTAGGAAGTCTATATGCTCCGACCGAATAATGACCATGTATTTTAATTCTATATTTTGATAATTTTTAGCAAGGGCATTCTCGATTATAGTTCATGTATTGATGCCATAGCTAAGCAAAAAAAACAAGACATGCTCTCGAAGTTTCGTTTCATTATGTTTCATATTAATATTTCTAAATGGTTTTTTGAATGATGTCATCTTCACAGCCAACAACCTCATCAATAGAGTTCATAAAAAAATTCACAAATTTCAGACCCCCCTTATTCGTCTTGATGTATTGTTTTCTTACCAACCAGCCTTTCTCCACTTTAGACCTCAAAATTTTTGAGTGCATACCCTTTGCTCGGGATACAAACCCAACTCGTTATAAAATTAATCTTGGTATATGCTGCCCTGGTTGAAGGATGGGATAAAGACCAAATATACAAGCACAAACTTCATGGAGATCCTTGTTCAGGCCCAACAATAATTGGAACATAATTCTTTTCCATACTTTTTGGAAGAGGAAAAGAATTGCAAGAGAAATCCAAGACTAGTGTCCAGAAGTAGGTGTCACAATAGATAGTCCAACAGGTACTTGCAGACAGAAGAAATGATAAGAACTACCAATCAAGTTCTTCATGGAACTAATCGGTCATGACATGGCCATGAAGCTTTCCACTTGTCACGCTGCATATGTTGGGCCAGTCTTAGGAGGTCCATGAGTCATATCTGTGAAGTAGCTGAATTTATCTCAACCTTTGATTAACAATGAAATAACTTGAGATCATTAGAGGATGGTAGAGTTGTTGAGTTTGTGGGCACTAATAAAAAATTTATGTGGTTCTCATGTCTTCCGGTCTACGGAGAAGTTTGGGTTGATCCTCTGGTGAACTCAAGGGGTACGTCGGATGGCAATTCAGGGGTGGATGAATCTGCCATGGCTCCGACGGAGCCAAAGGTAAGGTTTAGAGACAACCCTTAGCTGTCAGCCAAAGAGGGCCTGTAGTGTATGTATTCAGCTGACATAAGGGAGATTTGATGTTCCTGGATGGTTTCTAGTTTGCAGGAGGGGGAGGTCCAGCCGAGAGAAAGCTTGCAAGGGAAGAATCTAGTCAATTGGAGGGAGATTCGGTGGTTTTGGGAGGAATTTTGGTTGGTAGGAGGGACGTTCGGCGGCCAGAAGGTCTGCAGGGAAGAAATCTGACTTCTGGAAGGAGCTCAATCGGTCCTGGAAGGGAGTCCAACTGGCAGTAGGTAGGCCCGACAACGGGAAGGGCCCGTAGGGAAGGATAGATTACCTAAAACCTGCAATGGAATGCCTGCAGCAGGAGTTTCAATGGCATGGGTATGGTATCGACCGCTAGGGTAAGTTCCCGTGGCTCTAATACTATGTAGGAATTAGAAATTCAGTGGGTTCCTTTTTTGATATGAAAAAGAAATAATTACACGATATTGGCATGCATGAAGATGCTGCATACTAGACCTTGTAGAAGAAGACTGTTCTCTTAAGATGTGGTAATAAATGCAGAAGAAAATGAACAAAGAAGATAAAGTAGAAAAACAGAAAATTGAGAAAAACCATGCTACAACTCAATCGAAGAGTGTAGACTCTCGCAAAACTTGAATCTGAGGTCAAGGACAGGGATGAGGACTAGGGAGAGAAAACCCAATTGTAAGAATTGAGAATTTAGCAGGATCTTTTATTGATATGAAAAAGAGATATAAATATACCTTACATGAGGTTCTTAATAGTTACTTGGAGATGAAAAGGAAACATAAAATAGAAAGGCAATAAATTCAATGAGATAATTCCTAATAATTGATTGGAGATAAAAGAAGACAAAAAATAGGAAGGACAATAAATCCAATTTTTCTAAGAGTTTGTATTATTAGAATTGAGATATTGCATAATTCGACAGTTTATGCTACAACGCAGAGCTCTTTGAGTACATTTTTAGATATGGAGATATCATACGTTGTTGAATTATTGTTTTTCTTGGCAAGTTTTTATATCCTAAAGATAATAAGAGGATTTTCATAGAAGAGCACAATGGTAGGTTCTTGTATGACGACCATCTTTGGTTAATTAAAAAATTAGATCAATAACATAGTTATCAAATATAAATGCAATAGATTCTTTGAATATCCAAATTTTTTGTTCTTTTAGTGAAGGAGCCTCTATAGAAAATTTGTGTTATACTCCATTTAAGGTTGTAGAATAAGTTGAGTTTAGGCAGATCATTGAAAGCAAAGTTTAATCAGAATCTAAAAATTCAAAACTTAATAAATAAGAGTTTATATCTTTCTAATTAGTGCATTGGATTTATCTATGTCCTTCCAACAAAATTGAGACTTGTAATTGTGCATAAAAGCAACTTTATTAACCATGGTATCCCTCTACCTGAGGGCTTCTGTCTTCTTCTATAACGACTAGTTTTGATACTAGCAGGCTTAAATCTTTAGCCTAGATCTCTCTGATTTCAAACTTAAATTCTTTTTTGACAATTCATGCATACAAGTCCTCCATATCTTTCCCACTCGGTTTTTTGTGAAGTGTAGCTTTTGATTGTGGATAACAGTTGAAAGAATCAAGGCTTATGTTCCACACTATCTCATTTTGTAGAGATTGAACCCCTCAAGAAAACTTCAAGCTGCCTTATGAACACAATCAAAATGCCCTCTTAACTCAAGAGATGAAGTAATGTGGTTTTCATTGCTGAATAAACTGAAGAATGCATACATAACGTAATTCTTATGTTGTTATATATCTACCACCAAAAACTTTCATATTTACATGCATGGCATTTGGTTCTTTTATATCAAATCAAAATTATTACTTCTTCCTAGTTTTTAAAAGCGTAAAATACATATTTTCATGCATAGATTTGTAACACTAATGTACTGTAAATGTATATTGATCAGTTTAGGTGTCTATGTAATTAAATAAGATTTGTGCGGTGTGTATGTAAATTTTCCTTATTTTTAACTTGGCTGTTTTTCCCACCTTGTGATTTCTACAGATTGGAGCTATCCATGCAGTTTCCCGAGATGTCTATTTCAGTGCTGTGGATGGTAATCTCATTATTTACAACTTCATCTCCTATATGTGTGTGTCTGTCTGGTGGGTGGGGGAGTGTGTGTGCAGGTGTGTGCCCGTGCGATGTGTGCTTGGTGTGTGGAGAAAATATTAATTCTGGACTTCCGCAAGTCCGAATAGCCAATTGTTCGCTTATCGCTAATGTATACAACGGCATGACGCCTGACGGTTGGCTGTCTGTATGTGCGGCGTCCAGACGGAAAATTTTCTCGTGTGTGTGGGCGCATGAGGCGCCTGCGCTGTATGTATTTTTATAGTAACTTTTTGATTTTCTACTTTTAAAGATTAAAACAGGCATTTTTAATTCAGGTTCTGGTATTGACTCTAGCACTGTGCCAGATCTCTCGGGTGCAAAGAAGCGTAGGTTCCCAGATCTGAGAGGTAAATGGGCTTGTAATTATTTATTTATTTTTCTATAGTTTTAATGCTCGGAATTATTAAGTTAATATATTTCTTCATTTTGCTACTGTGCAGGAGATCATAGTAATAACTCACTTGAAGCATTGGTGAGAAGTGGGATACAATTTAATTTCATATTTTAAAGAAATCCATTTTTTTTCTTTTATCTATTTTTTTCTATTCTTTTGTGTCCAGTTAAAAAACACTGGAAGGGAATCATTCCAATGGGGTAAGTTCTCCTTATTTCAGTCTTATGTTGCTCAAATCCAACCAAACACCAAAACATATTAAAATTAAATCTAACATTCTGTTAAATCCAATTTTCTTGCTTTTGTCTTCTTCTTCTCGCTTTTTGTCACCTATATGATGTAAAATCTGATTACATGAGACTCTCAAGGACAAAAAAATCCTTCATCAGTTAGGTGTAGGCCCTCGAAAAATAGTATTTAAGTCATGAACTGCCCACCACCCCTAAGAGTTTTTTTGGGAGGTGACAAATGATATTAGAACAGATTACTGTCTGTCAGATGTGTGAACTCTCCATGGTCTAGTGGGAGCTTCGGTAGAGTCGATCCGTTACGAGGGCATCACGTGATTGTGTGGAAGAGGATGTCACGGACAAAAAGTCCCACATTGGCTAGGTGTAATGCCAAAAAATAGTATTTAAGTCCTGGGTTACTACCACCTCTAAGAGCTCCTTTGGGAGTTAACAGATTTATTCCGCCATTATTTGTGAGCAAGAATCATCGCAACATGAATTTGATAAATTTAAATTTATCAGATTTAATAAATTCTATTTAACGAAAATCAAATCAAAGTTAGTAATGTTATTTTACTTTATTTGGGATGCTTATTTTATAGGTTTGACTGCCGGCATTTACTCTGGGTTAACCTATAGCTTGAGAGAGGCTCGTGGAACTCATGACTGGGTAATCTCTTACTCTTTTCCTCCATAAAATACTGAAAATGAAAAAAAAAGCCAATTTTTACGCAAATGAAGTTTTTATGCACCTTAATTTGCTATAAAATATAATCCTTTTAATATATATATGAAAAACCAAACTTTTGAATTTTTGCTGCTGCAGAAGAACAGTGCAGTTGCAGGTGCAGTTACAGGAGCAGCTCTAGCCTTGACATCACAGGGCGCAACTCAGGAGCAGCTGGTGCATTACGCCATTACCGGAGCTGCCATCTCCGCTGCAGCTAGTCTTCTCCGTGGCATTTTCTGATGGAAAGACAAATTGATGTTTCTTGCATTTTTTTAGTGTGTTTTTAGGCTCTTTTTTGCTGCATGAAAAACTGAGGTTTTAATAATTTGATGAACAATTTGCTTTGGTTTGAAACTAATTTAATGGCGATGAAATGTTTGTTCAATCATGAGTTTTTGAAACTTGATGGATGGTTGAGATTGCATGCAATTGGAATAGGTCACAATGTAATAAATCATGTGGTACAATATAATATGATAAGAAGTAATATAAGCTCTTTATATATGTACTTTCAATTTTTATGTATGTGTCCTATTAATTATGCATGCAAATGTGTGATTCATTTTTTAGAAGTTAAATTGGTGGTATTTTTGATGTGATTCATTTTCTAGAAGAAGTCGTGATCTTTGATGCACTATGGGAAAAAGTCCTATTGAACCTAATGCCTTTGTTTTCCACTCACGAAGCTAAGCTAGGGAACTGGATCGGTAGACACGCCCCTATTCTGACGCTTTCTCCCAACCACAATGTGGTTTCAAATGCATTTTTTTTTAACTATATATTTTAGTGAGGTGGTGGTCCATATGGTTGTTGATAAAAATTAATAAAAATTTCGATTTAGATGTTTTATTTGTTGAAAGAAAATGTGGCTTATAATGTCTATTAAATTTACATTTATATAAAATCAATTTAAAAATTCTAGACTCATTTCTATACATATAAAATATTCATTTGAAATATTTTTTTTTCACATAATGAAATTTATTATGATAATTTAAATCCAATGTTTTGCCATCAAACACGGACTTGTACCCTAAAACGTGCACTTAATGGTTGAGAGTTTAGATTCCCACCCTGAAGTTGCGAATTCGAACCGTGCATATAACATTTAGGCTCAATTTTCCAAATGTATATATTAAACAAAGCTGCCATTATTTTGATTAAATCAAAAGGATAGATTTCATTTGATTATTAAAATATTAGTTCAATTTTTAATTATACTTATATTGTTCTTATTAACGATTATTAGTTCAATTTTTATTTTCTTAAATCAGCTAAATAGAAAAATAAATAAGACTAATTTTATACAAAACTTATAAAAGATTGGAAGAAAATCTTCTCTTTAAATTAAAAACATACTAAAAATTAATTTTCAATTTAGCTTCCAAATAAACTCAATTTTTCCAAAAAAAAAAAAAATGATAATAAAAAAATAAAATAAAAATACTTAGCAAAATTCTTTGGGGTATTCACATACATATCACACAATTTTCATGTATTTACAAAAGTAACAATTAAAGTTCAATATTTACTTATATAACACTCAAATATTTAACATCACATCAAAAATATCACCAAGATTTAACTTTTCTAGATTGGAATATACCTTTTCTATAAAGTTCTATACAAATAAATATCAACATGTGGCCATTACAAATATAAATACATATAAGTATAATATGGTATGTACATGCATCCCCAAATTTTTTTGCATAAATGTATTGCTAACAATGGAGTAGAGAAAAATCATGAAGGTTGCAACAAAATGAAAATGTCATCCATTGCATGTTCCAACATAAATTAAAATTGCAAGTTCCAACATAAATTAAAATTGCAAGTTCCAAGTTTCTAAAAATCAAACTGAAACATCAAAAAATTTCCCTAACTGAAACCCTATTCTTACATGAATACATAATAAAATAAAACACCAAAAAACAGTTTTTTTGATCTGCAATTAACTGTATTCTCATCATGGAAATTATAATCATGATAGAACAAAAACAACTACCTGCACAGCTTCAGCTGATCTGAAGCTTTGAAATCCAGAACTGGATCTGCTCAGCCACACAGTCTGAACCGGTCGAGCCGTACGACGAAAACTTGTTCACAGAATTTTTGACGCCCAAATACTCGTAAACATCGTCCTCAAACACAGGATCCATTCCCCTGAGATCGTCAAGTGACAGAGCAGAAAGCTGACAATTTTTTGAGATGCAGAGAGCTACAGATCTTCCAACAATGTCATGTGAAGTTCTAAATGGCACGCCCTGTGAAGAAGAAACAGGCAGAGGAAGGAGAAGATTTAGTTCAATATCATACAGATAAGACCTCAATAAAAAAAAGTATTCTGATTCTGCCCTGATAAAGCAGTTACAAGTAGGAGTAAAAACTGTATAAATAATGTTCTCGGTGGGGGTGCGAACGGGTTAAGCTGAGCTAGAGCCATCTTTACTTGAGCCTGAGTTTGATTTTTGGGGAATTTATATACATACCACGCCATGCTTATGTATTTACATATGAAGCACCTGAACTTTGCTTTTTTACATTTATACCACCCAAATCTTTCATATCACATAAAAAATACTACTAAGTCAACTTTTAAAAAGTGAATGCATAAGGTGGCAGATATGTAAAAATTAAAGTTTGTGTTAGATATGTAAATGCATAAGAATTGAGTGGTATGCTTGTAAATCTACCATTATTAGTTAATCAATTTGAAGCTCTACCTCAAGCTAATTCTAAGAGTTAGAGTCGGTTTACAACCTGGTTAATTTAATATTGAAAGAAAACTTTGATTAAAGCAACTATGCTTAATAAAATGATCGGAAATTTAGTAATTAAAGAAAAATAATAAAACTAACTTGATATAATAAAATAAAATATATGATTCTTTCATTTACATAATGTATATTTAAAGTCTAAAATTTTAATATATTTCAAGAGTATTTTATATTAATATTCTTTTACATGAGCCGGCTCATGAGCTATAGAGCCTAGGCGGTGCTAGCTCAAGCTTTATCGTGTTAGCAGATCAAACTTAGTTCGCGAGCCATTATTGAGCTGAGCTCGGGCTGGCTAACGAGTCAACCTGGCTCAGTTCCACCCTAGTTATCAATGATCATATCACTGTTCTTAAAGCAAAATGGACAAAAAATTAAGGCCACTTTACCTTCTTCACAAGGTAGTCAGCAAGGGTTGTAGCATCAAGATACCCAGCTGGTAGAGCCTTCTCTATTTTTGCATCATTAAAAGTAACGTTCTGTGCAAACTCAGCTGAAACTTCTAACATGCCTAGAATAGTTTTGACACTGTCAAACAAAGGTTCCTTGTCTTCCTGCACCAAAAGTCAAAGCCAAATACATTATAGAATGAAGAGTGATTTACATAAATACCACTCAATTCCTATGTATTTACATATCTAACACTAAGAACTTCAATTTTAAGATACATACCACCTTATCTATGCATGAAAAGGTGTATTTCACCTTTTAGGGTATTTACATACATACCACAATTCTTATGTATCTACATATCTAACACCTTGATGTGTTTTTAAATTTTGTATAAATGTAGTTAATTGTTTGCAATTGGTATGAAAATGTTACGCTTTGAGGATTTGCTGATCACATCAAAAAAATTACCAAACCCCTATGTCACTTACTAGGGAAACAGGATTGCCTCACTGACTTCAACACATTAAATGAACAATTAGTCGTTGCACCCATTATTATTTCACCTGATTGGAAGAGTCCATTTGAGTTAATGTGCGATACTAGACAGTACAATATAGGGGCTGTGTTAGGCAAGATGACAGATAAGGTCTTCAGAGCTATATACTATGTCAATAAGACCCTTAACGAGGCTCAAATTAATTACATCACTACTGAAAAGAAACTTCTTGCTATAATATATGCATTTGATAAGATTAGGCCTTATTTGAGTGGAACTAAATGCACTATTTTCACTGACCATTCCACAATTCGATATCTAATATCTAAAAAGGACGCAAAATCATGATTGATCAAATGAGTCCTCTTATTACAAGAGTTTGATATCAAAGTGGAGGATCGAAAGAGATCTGAAAATCAAACAATAGACCACTTATCCAAGCTTAATTAGGGGAATTTTTCTAACTTTGATGATGAAATTAATGAAAATTTTCTTCATGAGAAACTCGTATCTGATTTGAGTGTTCTGTGATATGCTGACATTGTAAAATTTATACTTAATGATATTTTACCCTCTAAGATATGTTGACCAGAGGAAGAAGTTTATTCATGATGCCAGATTTTACTTTTGGGATGACTCATATCTTTATAGGAGGTGCAAGGACCAGGTGATTAGGAGATGTTTAGCCCTAGAAGAGACCCATGAAGTGATTAGGAAATATCATGATTCTAAATTTAGACGGCATTTTAGAGTGTATAGAACTGCTTCTAAGATTTTACAATCAGGATTTTATTGACCTACTTATTTTAGAGAAGTAAATGATTATATTAAAACTTTAGAAGTCAAAATTTTTTATGTTTGGGGGGTTAGATTTTATTAACCCGTTTATATCTTCACTTGTAAATCTTTATATTTTTGTGTCAGTGAATTATGTGTCGAAATGAATTTAGGCTATTGCTCTCTCTATTTGTGAGGCTCAAAGAGTTTCGAAATTTTTGAAGAAAAATATTTTTTGTAGATTTAGAACGCTAGCGTGATTATTAGCGATGGGGGCAGTGATTTTAGGAATAAGATGATTGAGACACTTGGAAAATATGTGAAAATACATAAGATATCCACTACCTACCACCCTCAGACCAGCAGACTAACAGAGGTTTCTAATAGGGAGATAAAAATGGATCCTTGAGAAAACAATTAATCATAATAGAAAGAATTGACTTTAAGACTTGACGATGTTTTATGGGCTTATAAGAATACTTATAAAACTCCTATAACAATGTTTCCTCATAGGCTCATTTTTGGGAAGACTTGTCATTTACTTGTAGAACTAGAATCTAAGGCATTTGAGCTGTTAAAGAGTTCAATCATAATATGAAAAGTGTCGCTGAAAAACGTTTGCTACAGGTAAATGAAATTGAGAAAATTAGAGAAGCTTATGAAAATGCAAGAATTTATAATGAAAAGATGAAGGCAGGACATGAACAAAAGATTCTTAGGAAAGAATTTAAACACGGACATGAGGTTTTATCATATAATACTCGATTGAAATTATTTTCAGAAAAAAACTTAAATTCAGGTGGTCAGGACCATTTACTGCAATAAGCGTTTATTCTTTTGGAGCCGTTGATACTGTTGATTAGAAGAGTGGAAGGGTTTTTAAAGTTAATGGACAAAGACTTAAACTCTATTTAAGGAGAGATATACCTGGACTTAGGGAGATATTGACTTTGGATCAACTCAATTGAAGGATCTAGCATTGTCGAGCTGAGAATAATAAACTCAGCGCTTCTTGGGAGGCAACCCAAGATTATCAGTGCGATTGCTGTGTTTTCAGATGTGGTGTTTATTTTTATTTATTTGTCATATTTTGATGTGATTTGAATTGATTTTTGTGTGCTTTTTGAGTTGTTGAAGTGATCTGAAGATCTGGGCTGATTTTGAGCCTGATGCCTGGGCGCCACCCCATGGGTGCCTAAACGCCAGTCGCTTGGGATTGCGGCATCTTGGCACCGCTATCACAGTGCTTAGGCTCCACGGCTCCACCCTATTACAATTTTAGATCTATTTGGGCGCCTAGACGCTAGCACCTGAGCGCCTTGGCGCCCAAATCTAAATAAAAGTGAAAATCTTTGCTTTTCAGCTCATTTCCTCCGATTTTCTTCCCAAGTTCTTCTCTTCTTCACGCTATCTGACCTAGGGCTTCCCAAATATGCAATTTTTTACTTGAATCCGGTGAAGAGGTGTGGATCTAGTTATTCTTAGGAAAGCTTTGCTTCCTCTAACTCTTTTCTTCCAGTTTGTTTGTGAATTTGTGGGTTCTTAGCATGAGTTTCAGGATTTCTTCTAGATTTTCTCTCTCAAATCGTGGAAACTAGCATATTGATCTAAGAAATCTTTGATTTGCATTGTCATTTGGTTGTTTCATTATCATTTTCCATGGCACCAAAGATGAAGGGAAGAAAGTCAAAAACTTATTTTGATAACAAGAAATTCAACAATGTTAATGCTAAAGAAAGATATAACGATTTATAGATAACAAAGAAGTTCATTCCGGAGAGGGGATTTTTGCTCCGGGAGGTGTTGTGGAATCCATGATAGACCGAGGGGCTGGAAAAATTTCTGCTATCATGCTGGAATTGCTGTAATTTCCATAGTTTGAAAATTTTATGCAAATCTACCAGAGTCCACTTCCGATTATGACTTTGTTAAGGGAAAGTAAGTTGATTTCTGTTCTACCAAATCAATGATATGTATCATTTGCTTGATAAACCTGACTGTTATTTCTACAATTTCACTTCTTTGACGGGGATTTGGATGAAATAATTACCTTTTTTAATGAAGGATAGGGCAATGTGGAAGGTGACAGATGATAGGAAGATCAATTTGCCTTCTTCTGCTTTATGGCTTAATCTAAGGCATGACATTATTTCATATCTGTCAAGCTTCTACCTTCCACAAATCTTAGTGAAGTTACTAGGGATAGGGCGGCTCTAAATTTCTGTATTCAATCTAACAAAAGTATCGATGTGGATTCAGTGATAAGTCATTTCATTAGAAATATGTTGAAAGGAGGATCCACCATTGAACTTGGCTACCCCTCCACAATTTTACTCTGTGTATGCTTGCTGGAGTTACTTATTAGAGTTGGGAGGAACAGCACAACCCCTTGAGCCTATTTCCAAGAGAAACATAAGGGTTTATAGTCGACACGCTCTGTTTGAGTGTGGTGAAAGTTCCTCCGCTTCTTATTCTAGACCCCGTCCTTCTACATCCATGCCTTCTATTGCCGAACGCATTGATACTCTCGAAGATGATACATCGATCATTCAGGCTGAGGTTTACGATTTGGTGGACCGGGTGTCTCCATGGATTGACAAATTAAGAGCCAATTCGATCATATTGCTGATTTTCAGGCTGCACAACAAGAAATTTATAAAATGAATCAGTGGTTAGGAGGTCCAAACCCGGTGATTTTTCCTACATACACTCCTTATACTCCTCATGAAAATGCCCGTCGACCGATGGAGGAAGACCAGGAGGATGAAGATGAAGAAGATGAAGAAGAAGAAGAAGAAGAAGAAGAAGAAGAAGGGGGCGATTGATATTGCGACTTATTGAGAAGTTTTTAGCTAATTTGACTTGACTGCTACTGCTGCTATTCGTTTTATTCTTGTTGATGCTATGTTATGTTATTGTTGTAATGTGACTGGTAGTATTGTGATGTTGAATTTTCTTGTTGCGCTTATGTTTTATATTATATTTGGACTTTAATTTTATGTAACTAATTGGGACTATTTGTTTTACTTTAAGTTAATTTTTTGTCATAGTTCTATTTGGTATTGTTGCTATTAACTGTTTCTACACATGTTGTTGAGTTGTTGGGCTGAACCGGCTTTATCTGCAATTGTGATATCTTCCTTCATGTTTATTTATGCAAATGTTTGTGATAAAGTTTGGGGGTATTTAATTTTGTGAAAATTCTTTGCCCTTGTTTGAATTTTAGAACTTTAAAAATTGGATTCTCTTTCCTTATATCTTTATATCGTGGTGAATTTGATTTAAAGATTGAATAATCCGAAATGATAAAATTACATAAAAAGGTGACTTAAATTCTATTTAGAGTACTCTGACACTGTCGGAACTTGAAATTTGCTTCTTAACAAAAGCTTTTTTAATCAAGATATTTGATTACAGAGAATACTTTGTTGTATGCTTGGCTCTGTGCAGTTGAAATGGTATATTTAAAAGCATAACCACTATTAATAGAATTCTGAGATTATAGTTTATATGTTATAAACTTTGAAGAAGAAGGAATGACATGATAATTTCATCTATAAATGTAGTGGGGAATTCAAAATCATTATGAGCAGATCCAGGTATAGTAATCATCTTAATTGATTGAAAAAAGGGATTATTCTTAAAAAAGATGGAGATTGAAGAAAATCAATCCAAAAGTGAGTTCATGAGAACTATATATATATATATATATAGGGCTGTCAAAAAAGCTTGTTGTTCGCGAATAGTTTGTGTTTGGTTCGTCAATGAGTTCGTGTTCGATTTGTTCGCTAAGTTAATGAGCCAAACACAAATAATTTTTATCTTTTGATATATATATAGAATTAAACGAAACAAACACGGACAGTGGTGCGTTCGTTCGTGTTCGAATCGTTATTGTTCGAAATATAAAATAATTTAAAATAATTATCTATAAATGATTTATGATATTTTAAAAAATTAAATTTTATAAATTATAATATATGATAAATTAATAAAAATAATATATTAATATACTAATATAGATATTAGATATGTATATAATATAAGTTATATAATTAATATAATATATTACTTATATATATTAATATTAGAGATGTCAAACTGGCTCATCGTTCGCGAACAGCTCGTGTTCGGCTCGTTCGTTAAGAAACAAACACAAATAGTGACTTCACGAACAATTTCGAACACGAGCTTATTTCAGATAAACTAAATTTCAAACGAACCGAACACGAACACAAGCTCTGTTCGTGCGTGTTCGGTTCATTTACAATATATATATATATATATATGCATGTGTGTGTGTGTGTTGCTTATCCCAGTTTGTTGGTTGGCATCTGCGAGTTAATTGTAAGTCCCCTGAGGTCGGGGGTTCGAATCCCCCTCCGACGACGATCGCTTTATGGAGGATGGTACATGAATTGTTAAGCATATTAGGGGTGACTGGGGGCTCATATAATAGCCTCCGACCAATCCTTTTAATATGTATAAATACATACATATATTTAAAAAGAATGGTCGGAGGCTACTATACGAGCCCTCACTGCCGACAAACTGGCCAGATGGAGATTCAAACCAGTGCCCTAAGAGGACTTACGACCTTTAAAAAGGCTGCTCTACTAACATGTCACGATTGGTGGCATATATATATATATATATATATAACATGAACTTACGGGGGAGAAGCTTGAGATGACACTATCATAAATTGGTTCTGCCATCTACTGTATAGGAATTTAAAGTTCAATCATGGGCATTCCCTTCTAATTCAATTATTTGCTTATAGACTACTAATTGAGGAATTTGAATTAATAAGCGCTTAAACCTTTTAGAGTTAACATTCTCAATTGATTTAGTTAAGCTGCAATAAAGAAATGTTTGAAGTAAATGTATAGATTTTATTAGTTTTTGTGTGGAGTTATTTGTTTTGAAGGAAAAATTTGAAAGGAAGCTCTATAGAATTAAATGTTGTTTTATTTATGCAAATTTCTGAATTCTGGATTAAAAAAAAATTATTGACAGATGAATTCACCACTTATAAATTCTTGGGAAATCAAAATTAATTTGAAATTACTAGAGGGCAAGTAACTTTCAAGTTTGAGGGATTGTTATGTGATTTTAAATTTTATATAAAATATCGTTAATTGTTTGCATCTCGTACGAAAATGTTACGCTTTGATGAAGGTTTTTTTTTTTTTTGTTGTTTTGGCATGTTGTAGCAAAAAGGAAGTCGAATGAGACTTAGAATGATTAAACTGGAGAGGTGCGGTTTAGCGCCTAGGCGCCGAGTTAGCGGTGCTTGGGCGCCCAAACAAACCAGAATTCATCCAGAATCACGAGAGCACAAAAAGTAGGCACTGCCTAAGCAACACCTAGCGCTATACACTAGCGTCTAGGCGTCGCGATATCAGTGCCTACGCGCTAAATGATTTGTTTAAATTGCTAAGTGGCGCCTAGGCGCCAGAACCCGAGTTTGGTTGGTTTAAAATTTGGTTCGCTGGAAGAAGTATAAAGAGGAAATAGTACAAAATTAGGAGGGCTTTCATATTTACTTTCTGTATATTCTAGAGGAAGGTACTAAAAGAGAAAAGACCAGAAAAGTTAACCAAGTTGAGAGAAGTGAGAATTAAGAGACTTTGTGAGATTGTATGCTTGTAATTTCAACTTCTCAAGAGTAAAGGAAGGGAGATAAGTTCTGTATTTCTTATTTTGTAATTTTGAATTGTTTTTCTTTTCAAGACTTCTGTACTTTAATTTTGTTTTCAATAAAATGACGATGGTGTGTTCGGGCATGCATAGTGAGTACTTTACTCTTTCTTCCTTGGATGGGGAGATAGGAGAAATATATCTAAAAATTTCTTTACGGTTTTGTGTTGACTATTGTTGAATGATGATTCACTTATCACGCTTCATTTACATTTCATCTTTGGCCAAGTGTGATGCTAATATTTATAGTGAGTTATGAATCTCAGAAAAGATGTAAGGGAATCGACTAAGTTAATCACATTAATTTGGTAGAATAGAGATATATCAACTAAATTAAAGCAAACTTAATGAGAGATAATGGTACATGGGTTAAAGATTGAAATTAGGGAACTAATCTGATTCTTAGCCAAACTTTCTTATTCCACCTAGGAAGAGTATTGCTCCAACTTTTCATTTGCATATTTGTTTAACTTTCACATACATTGACTTGTTAAACCATTTCAAGAGAGAACTTCTTAAATACTTGAATAACTCTTCGCTTTTTTTGTAGATAACTTAGGATATTTTTATAGGACTTTAATTAAATCAACATTTCAGACTAGGATAGACATTTAGAGACTAGAACATTTTCATAATTGGATTTACCTAGTTCCCTATGGAATCGACATCCGAACTCGAAACCCAGTACTACTGATACGCCATGTATACTTGTGTGAGCCGCCCGTGCTTTGTAGCACTTGGTGCATATCACACCTACACATTCATATTTACATGCATACCGCTCAGATCTTTTAACATCAAAATCAAAAATACTATCATAACTACCTTTTAAAAGTGATAACACCTTTTCATGCATGTGTTTATGACATCAAGGTGCTATAAATGTAAATATTGAACTTTAGGTGTTAGATATGTAAATACATAACAATTGTGTGGTATGTATGTAAATTTCTCCATTTATTAAAATGCAGGAAGATTTACATACATACCAGTCAATTTTTATGCATTTATATATCTAACACCTAAACTTCAATATTTACATATATGCCACCTTACCTATTACCAAAAAAGATGCATTTACATAAGCGAGCTGAGAGCTTGTTCGTGTTTAGCTCTTTCCAATTTTTTTTTTTCAAAATTAGCCTGTGTTTTTATGACTCGTGTTTAACGTATTCATGCTCGATTTGATTAAACTCGAAATTAGCTCGTGTTTGGCTCGAATTCAAATTCGAGCCGAGCACGTTTGCTTCTCATTGAACTGACTCAAGCCCACATTTATTTATTTATTTATTTTCAACTTAGCCAAGTTTGGTTTGCTTTTAAATAGTACTTGTATTCTTATAAATATAAAATACAAGATGTGAGGTATTCTTTTATAGTTATATCACCTAAATAAGTTTTAAAAAAATAATAAAATTTGGTATTTTTAAATACAATATAAAGATTAATATAAATAGATATTATTATTTAATAATTGAATTATTTTGAGTCAAAATAAGCAAAATATGAAAGAACAAACACTTATTCGAGTTCGGCCCGTCTATAAATCGAGCTAAAAAATGATTCGTGTTCAACTCACTTGCTTAATTTGCGAATCAAATATGAGCTACTTAACGAGTCGAACATGAGCTGCTCGAGAAACACGAGATTTTTTGATAGCCCTAAAAATAGTGATATTTTTTAAGTATGAAAGATTTCAATGATAAAAATGTAAAAGGCAAAGTTTAGGTGATTGATATGTAAAAACATAAGAATTTGGAGGATGTTTGTAATTGCCCATAAAAGTAAAAATGACGGCATTTTTTTTTATTATATTACGATTTGAGAGATATAACTATAAAAAGTAAAGTTTAGGTATTAAATATGTAATTGCATATGAGTGGTATGTTTGTAAAGCATGTTTTTTAGAACTTTATAAGGTAAAGAAGAGAGAGAGAGAGAGAGAGAGATTTGAAGTACTGAGATCTTACTTGTAAATCACGGTTGTAGGCTTGAGGGAGCCCTTTGCACAAAACAAGAAGAGTTACAAGGCTTCCAATGACTCTGCTAGATTTACCGCGGACGAGCTCCATAGGATCTGGATTTTTCTTTTGAGGCATGATGCTGCTTCCAGTTGAAACAGAATCACTAGGAGTCAAGAATCCAAACTCTTCTGAAGCCCACAAAACCCATTCTTCTCCAAGCCTTGAAAGATGCATGGCAATGATGGAATTTGCAGAAAGGAATTCCAGTACAAAATCTCTGTCTGAAACTGCATCAATGCTGCATATAATAGTCAAACATTTATGAAAAGGAACTTTAAATTTATTTTACAAAAAATGCGAAGAGCAAAAAAGAATAAAGAATGCTTCTTTTTACATACTGTTGCAAAAGGGCCGAATTGGAAAATTCCCGCCCAGTTAACAAATTTAGCAGAAACTCTTGTATTTTTCTGACTTAATTCTTATATATTTTTTTTTCTTATTAGGTATATTTTCTATTAGGAATTTATTTATGTGTGGTATTTTTTGTTTGAATAAGACTGTAATCTAACTTAGTATATCGTAAATTGGACTAGCTTTAGTTCAACCTACTTTCCTGCATAATACATGGCTAACATTTTGGGTCCTCAAATACAATTAATTTAAATGTTTCCTCAGATTAAATTGATGCCATTTCTAAGAATTCATACACAAAACTCAATTAACAAGCACTTAGCTACGTTTGCAGCCAAGACTTGGTGCATATAGCACATCACCAATATAAATTCAATATTTAAGTTCCATAAGACAAATCAGAAATCGAAGAAAATTAACTCTAACTTGACATTAATTCCTAACCAATGGTTCAAAGACCAAATAGTTATTTTCGTTGAGATAATTCTCTTCTTGGTATCGATGGGATACAAGGGTGAAATAAAATTTTGGAGTAGGGAGCAGTGAATTTGATTCAAGTGCAGATATGAGGGTGCAATAAGATTTTGAGGTAGGGAGCATTGAATTTGATTTAAGCAGCACTTTTTTTTAGCGCAAAATGCACATAATGTGACTAATAATGGATCAAAAAACTGAATAAAAGATTTCCAGATCCTCAAAATCAGTATTGATAATTTTCAAGGACATTTTAAACCAAGAGCTTACTGAGATTATAATAACCCACAAAAAGAAATTTAAAACAAAAAAAAAAGAAAAGAAAAAAAACAAAGCACGCAAAAAGCATTAAGTTTTATACCTATTTCTCAGTGGAGCAGTAAAGCCCAAAGCATTTGAAGTCATGAACCTATCTATTGGAAGGCCAGTACCAGCCAAAGCACAAGCACCAAGTGGGCAGAAGTTCATTCGATCCTTGCAGTTGTTCAGCCTACCAATATCACGTTCAAGCTGAAAGAGAATTAAGAGCTTGAAAATTAAAACCAGCTAAACAACAGGTGGATTATTTTAAGTTGTCTTCAACAAATAACCTTAGGAAGAAGAATTTTTATGGGAGCGTTTATAAATACCACCCAATTCCTATGTATTTACATATATAACAGTTGAACATTACTTTTTATATTTATACCACCCAAATCCTTTATTTCATATCAAAAAGACCACCATTAATTTTTAAAAAGTGGGGGCACTTACATACAGACCACCCAATTCCTATGTATTTACATATCTAACACCTAAACTTTACTTCTTGACATTTAAACCACCCAAGCATTCTTATATCACATCAAAAATATCATTATTTTTACTCTAGAAAAGTGAAATACACCTTGTCGTGTATAAATAAGGTGACATGTATGTAAAAATTGAAGTTTAGGTGTTAGATATGCAATCACATGTTAATTGAGTGGAATGCATGTAAATATTCCTAAAAAGTGAATACAACTTTTCATACATAGGTAAGGTGAAATGTATGTAAAAATTGAAGTTTAGGTGCAAGATATGTAAATACATGGGAATTGAGAAGTACGTATGTAAAAATCTTCCTTTTTTTTCCAAAGCCAAAAACAAAAAATTGTTATGAAATTTAGGGTGAAGAAAAACAGGAATCGACACAAATCGAGAAGAAGAACAGAGATTTAACGAGGTTCGGCAAAAATGCCTACATCCTCGGGAGCAGAGCGACGAATTTCACTATTTCAGAGGAGTTAAATATCTATAGGGTTACACATCTATTTATATATAAAACCCACAGAAAATTACAAATACGTCATCGCTCCCCCCAACCCACTAATCCAAGAGACACATCTTCACATCAAGAGACACCTCTTCATTCCAAGAGACTCCAAATTCCTGGTATATGAGCCATACTTAACAATTCTCCATCTTGACGAATATCCAGCCCCTTATAAGAAAATCTCCACCTTGCGAATATCCAACCTCTTAGGGAAAATACATCATGGAGTTTCTTACACCGAAGTGGGTTGGGCAACCATGCCAACTAGCAACTGCAAACATTCAACAAGTTCAAGTAACGCAATAGCTTGTTGAAAATACTTGGCTTGGTTAAAATACCTGCAGCAATTTCATCATATGATCCGACAGAGTGAACTTCACCTATAACTGTACTCCCCAACAGTTTATAGATATTACCATCAGGTTTCATAGCTCGTAATGTCTTCAAAATTTCTTGTTGCGCCAATAAATCTTTCACCTTTGTTTGCCACAATCCAAAGTTCTCAATTTCATCGAACTTCATTATCTCGAATTTTGCACAAGACCTTGTCATTTGAAATTAATTTTTCAGTGAATTTTTCCTGTCTTGTATTGAAACAAAGCGCACCATAAATAAATTCAAATAAACATGAAATTTCCTATGTAAATTGTAACAATTTTCCCGCAATTTTCTATGATTCGTGAATCAAAATTTTCACACGAAGCATCTTTCCTGTTCGCAAAAAAAATTTGACTGAAATACTGCAGACACCAGCCAAACTCCACCTGTCACAATTTCTCCTGCAACAAACCTGCGAACAGTCCGCGAAATTTGTGAACTTTACCCGTCGCAACTGCACCTGCCGCAACTCCTCCTGCGACAAACTTGCGAACTCTGCTGGCTGAGCACCACCTATCGCAACTGCACATGCCACAACTCCTCCTGCGACAAATTTGCGAACAATCAGATGGTCGAGCACCACCTGTCGCAACACCGACAGATTCTCTACGAACTCCTGCTCTGTAGTCTGCTAAGACCCGACGAACTGCTCTGTGAACTGTTGCGACGCTTAGCAAAGCCCTTTGCAGACACTTTCCGCGGTCGTCCTGAGCGCCGACCCGCATCGCACCTCTGCGTGAATCCCTCTACGAAAAGTCTGCCTCAGACCTCTTCTCACTGAACTCCTCTGATTCCTGTGAAACTAGCGAACCCCGCTCGACTACCTCTTCTCCTCGTCGCCTCGTCGTTGCAGTCCTCTCAGTCCTCTCAAAGTTTGTTCCTTTGCTCAAGCAAAATAATTCGCTCCCAGGAAATCCGAGAATTTCCTCCCTTGGGCCTCCAACAAAGGAAAGATCAAAAGGGAATATTCTCCTGTGAAAATCAAAAGATTCCTTCCCTTCCTCGCTGCAATTCGCAACCGCCCGCCTAAGAGAACTGCCCGGGAACGCCTCGCTGAAACTGACCCGAAGGAGCGATTCGCAATCGAGCGATCTGAAACCGTCCGCAACCGAGCGATCTGAAACCGTCCGCAACCGCCCGCCTGGAAGGAGCCATTCTTCCTCCTCTGCCACAAACTCTCCCTGATGTCGATCGCCTGATCGAACTTCGCGATTCGCAATCGCCTGCTCCAATCTGCCGCGAACTGCTAGCCGAAACCCTTGGGGCTCTGTCGCGCAAGCTTCCTCGAGATCTCGCCCGGTCTAATCGCGAAGAACCTCCTTCTCCCGCGATTTGCAAGCACCGAAGACCTTCATCGTCGAAGCCCGTTCGCAAACCTCCTTACGCGAATGCCGTTCGCGACACTCTTCTGTCTGAACTCATGTTCGCGGAAGATCGCCAGGCAGCGGCCTTCCTCCTTCCGCGCTACTCTAATTTGATCTGCCGCGAACGCAAATCTTTCGCGAACGCCCTGGGAACTGTCACAAACCGCCGAACCAAAACCTTTTCTTCCTCCTCATTCTTCCTGTGCCGATCTGCTCCGCCCTAGAACCTCGCAATGATACTAATTGTTATGAAATTTAGGGTAAAGAAAAACAGGAATCGACACAAATCCAAAAGACCGAACAGAGATTTAACGAGGTTCGGCAAAGATGCCTATATCCTCGGGAGTAGAGCGGCGGATTTCACTATTTCAGAAAAGTTACATATCCATAGGGTTACACATCTATTTAAAGATAAAACCCACAGATAATTACAAACACGCCCTCGCTCCCCCCAACCCACTAATCCAAGAGACACGCCTCTTCACACCAAGAGACACACATCTTCATTTCAAGAGACTCCAAATTCCTGGTATATGAGCCATACCTAACAAAAATCAAAACAACGAGTAAATTGGATTTCATATTGTATTTCCTGTATAAACAACATTGTTAGTCCTATACCTGGATGGAAAAAAATTAGGGTCCAAACTAAGTTGACATATAAGAAAAAGCTTATGCCAAAGCTTTTTTTTTTAAAATTCCATTATGAAGATGGTAGTGTAATTCGAAAGAGAATCGAGAAAAACTTCCGTATTTTAAGACAAACCATAATAAAAAATATCACAAAGAATAGTTCATGCTGATTGATAAAGAAGTATGAGTTACGCCAGCTCAGCCTTTTATTAGCCTAAAGTCAATTTCATCTTTTATAATTTACTAGAGTTGTTACCGGTGTTCAGATAGGAGGAGGATTGACCAAGTATTTTATTATTTAAGTTGGATTACATAAGGATCGATTTTAAGCCCATATCTTTTTGCTTTATTTATGGATGCTTTTCCTGGACATTTACAAGAGGATGAACCTTAGTGTATGTTTTTCGCTGATGATATCCTTCTTGTAAACAAGATTAGAGAAAGAGTTTAGGAAAAACTTAAATTATGAAGGTCAACATTGGAATCTAAAGGCCTTTGTTTGAGTAGAACTAAAACTGAATAAATGGAAAGTAATTTTAATAGTAGTAGATAGTAGTAGCTCTAGTGGCAGAGTGGCAGAGTTGTAACTATGAGTGATCAAATCATTAAAATGAGTGAGTGTTTTAGATATCTTGGGCCTATTGGTCAAAGTGATGGTGATATAGATGGGCGTGTTATTAGTAGAGTTCAAGTTATTTGGTTGAAGTGGAGGAATGCATCAGGTCTATTGTATGATAAAAAAATACCACTTAGATAGAAAGGAAAATTTTATAAGATGGTGGTGAGACCTGCAATGCTCTATGGTGCAAAATGTTGGCCTTTAAAGGAGAAGCATAAGACAAAGTTAAGTATTGTTGAAATGAGAATGATAGGGTGGATGAGTGGCTTGGCATTAGAGACAAAATACAAAATGAATATATTGTGATAAGGTTGGTGTAGCTCCAGTGGCAGATAAGATTAGAGAGAGTCGTTTTAGATGGTTTAGTTACATTAAATGTCGACCATTTGATGATCTAGTTAATAGATGTTTTAAATTCGACTTATGTTAAGAAAGGCAAATGTGGACCTGAAAAGACTTAGACATACTGTATAAAAAATGATCTTAATCTATTAGAATTGAATGAAAATATGACACTCAAAAAGGAAGCAATGGACAAAAAAGATTTATGTAGCCAACCCCACTTAAGTGGAATAAAGGCATGTTGTTATTATTGTTGTATTGCTTAGTATAAAAAAGGTTAATATGTTTAGGGCTAGGGTTATGCAAGAGATTGAGTCTTCTAGTTTTAGAGTTAGGGTGTGGGAGTGACTCCCTTTCCCTCGAAAAGTAGAATTTGGGAGAGATCATTTATCTCTTGAAGTATAGGTGTTTATCTTTTATGTATTCGTGTGAGTTGTGTGGTGATGTATTGCTTTTATTTGAGATTAGTGAAATAAAAATATTATGTACCATAAGTTCTGTGAAAAATCAATTTGAATCGTATCAAATGGTATCACAACCATCGATTTTTTGGAGATCACGAACCAGATCCTGGTGAATAGGGTGAGAACTCATTCTGCCCTAATTGAAGCAGAAGGGATCTCCGCACACAAACATACAATCGCGAGCAATGACTGAATCATGTATGGGATTGTGATACAGTCACGATAAGGGCTGGCAATGACCAGAGTCTTCTTTGTCCCGACAGGATTGCTGCATACCAAAGGAAGCAAAGTGAGATCGCGATATACAATGACCAAATAGTCGCGATATGGTCGTGTGACCAAACCCAGCGTTACTGTTGGTGCTAACTAGATAGCCAACAATACAATTGCGGCGTATTGGAGTGGAAACCAAAGCATTGCGATACAATCGTGATAAGTGATAGCTGGGAAGTCAAAACCTTGGAAGCGGACGCAGACGGGGGGATTACGGCCTCGCAGTACAGACGCAATACAATTGCGATTCAGTCGACGAGATTTCATCATATAGTAGTCATTCCTTCATGATTGAAATCCATTCTAGGAGGAATTACAACCAATAAAGTAGATGATACGAAGAAGAAATTTGCGAATGAGATGAGCTTATCAACATAGATGAAAGGTTTTCCTCCATTAAAAACTGATTTGTGAGCTTGGAGGAGTTGTTGAGAGAGCTTATTAAGATGTAATTCAGGACTTTATTGGCGATTCAATTGCAAACCCTAACCAAGGGCTGACCAGAAAATTCTTGGCTAAATCGAAAGAGGGGGTTAGGCCAAAAATTGGAGAAGAGGTTATGCAAGAGGTATGGAGGAACGCGAAGAAAGAAGGAGAGCAGTCGAGATGGGTTATGACTATGATCGAAGGAGAGAGTATTACCCTAGAAACATGAGGGGAATACCAGAGGCAGAGGATGTGGCGGGAAGATGTTAGGGTTATAAGTTGAGGATCGGCGGGGAAGATGCACATGGGTGGGTGTACCGAGTAGAGCAATCACGGTGAATTCGCTAAATGGGGAGGAAAGCTCATGGCGACAGTTTATGTTTAGAGGGGAAAGCCCTAGCATGATATCAGTGGAGGGAGGCTAGATACCCGATTTGCTCGTGGGAAGAATTTAAGAATTGCTTGTTTGAACGTTTTCAAGCCATTGCAGAAGGAGACCTACATGAGCAATTCTTTGTATTGACTCAGGAAGGGACTGTCATGGAGTATAGGGAGAGATTTAAGCTATTGGTGGGGCAGTTGAGGGGAATTTTTAAAAGAGTACTCCGACTGTCCCACCTATAGCTTAAATCAGGATTCGGTACGAAGTCCATTGCCCTGTTAATTACTGGGTAGGTTAATTAATGGATCCAGGTTTCACCATGATACAAGAACAGATAAAGATTACTTTTTCATTTAAAACAAAATTTTGATAGAAGAGACTTTTAACCTGTTCCACGTAGGCCAATAGAAGATGCTGAAGCAAAACAGGTTGTGCTCTCTGCAGATGCGTGTATCCAGGAACTATCAACCCTTTATTTTTCATGGCCAGCTTAACAAGAGCAACCTGGAATCCAACATATGACCTGAGGTTAAATAGACGCTTGCAATGAGTTTCAGCATGCTGCACCCAACTGATGGAATAATAATAGTATCTAGAAGAAATTACTCAAAAAATTGGAGGATAGAACAATATATTAAAAAAAAAATAACGGAAGATTTACATACACCCCACTCAATTCTTATCTATTTACATATCCAACACCTAAACTTCAATTTTTAGATATATACCACCTTACCTATGCATGAAAAAGTGCATTTCACTTTTTAAAAGTTAAAATAGTGGTATTTTTTATGTGATATGAATGATTTGGGTGGTATAAATGTAAAAACAAAGTGTAAGTGTTAGATATGTAAATACATAGGAATTGGGTGGTATGTATGTAAATGCCCCTATCAAGAAATAGTTTGATGTTCACTAGATTAGTGAATCATGATTTATACACAAAGATAAATCAAATAAATTAACATAATCATCACTAGCATTATCCTAATTATTTTGAGTTTGCCTTTAAATCCTTCCGCTGCACTTACTATTCTTTGAAGCCATGCGAGCCTTTCAGTCTATGCTCTGTTCTTGCGTAGCCCAAACTATTAAATCAATTTTGATCTAAAATAGTTAGTCCTACTAGGATCTCTTAAATATTGTCATCTCTCACTCTTTTCTAATTTCACTTCACATTCATTTAGTCAAACTGAATAAGCTTTCTAATTGTTTACTACAAAAGCTCATGTAACATTTGTATCTCACCATTTTTTTAATGATAATAAATCTGACGTAGCGTTATCTAATGGTTTGACTGTATTCTAAAAAACATTAAGATCATGCCAAGATTCACCAGGCTAACTAAAAGAATTACTCACTTCAAGGGCATGCATAAAGGGTTCAAGTCAAAAAAGACATAAGTGAAAATATTAAGATCTAAAGATGATAGTAAATGGCTGTTGTAATTTAGATTCAAAGTATTTGATTGAGTTTGATTTATCAAAGGTCATAAGGATGACGAAAACACAAATAAAATTGATTAGAAATAATTAAAACATATTCTTAAACTTATACAAATTTTCCTATATTTATTGGGCATCTCTTTGAGTTAATTTTACAATTGAATAATTTATTTCACATTTTCATATATGTATGAAGTACTTTAAATATTATTTTGTTAATTTTACAATTGAATACTTTATTTCACATTTTCATATATGTATGAAGTACTTTAAATAGAATTTATTTTATGATCATATGCTTAAAGGACTTATCATCATCATGTTGATCAAATAAATTTGATAATAACTTCAATAAATTTTAAAGTTTTTATTTTATAGATTAAATTTTCTTTATTAGGCTTTATATGTTTATTACTCAACTAATCGCCTAATTTTGGATAACATGCTTATTTATTATATCTTCATATTCATTTATTAACTAATATGTATGTAGGTAAGGTTACTAACTTATACATATATCCTTTAATTCACCAAATTTGCCCAAGTATGATTAAGTTAATTAGATTTAATTGTGATTACATATGCACTTATGGTATTCTTAGTAAGTTTTATCTTAATTTTATTGAATTAGATTCAATGAGTTGTTTACATGTAATTTCATCTATAATATTAGATATTTTGCATCTTAATATTCGTATGATTATGCTTAAATTAAATGTTTTTATTTTTGCCAATCTTGTCACTCAATTGAAGCCACATGACACATGATAACCAAACCCATTGTAGTTGCTCTGACGTATACATGTCAGATTATCAACATGCATTTATGGTACTAGCGGAAACGTTAAGGTACCCGTGCACGTAAATGAAAAATAAAATTGATATTGAAGTACCTTAAGTGATATAATATGTAGACGGTGTTCTTGTGACGGTTTTACAACTATAAAATAATATAAATATGTTATTAAAATAGTAAAATTAATTGAATAACAACATATTTTTAAGATATCAAATGTTTATATTGATTTATTAAAATATTTAGCTGACATGCATATTATTTTTATTTTCCTTTGTTTTACTTCTTTTTCCTTGTAATATTGTAGTTTAGGATTATGAGTATTCATTAGTTTTGTTTAAGTTTACTATTGTTTTAAACTAACATTTTAGATTTAATTAAGTGATTTAAAGATAGAGTGATATAAGAGAAAATATTTATAGAAAATACGAAAAACTAGTAATAAGATAAATTTAATTATATTATTTTAATTGTAATTTGATTAACAACTCTTTCATTTGTTAATAGTTAGTTATAGAAAATGAATATATAAAACTTAATTCCCACCGTCCGACTGTCTGTAACCGTCTTGATTAATTACAAGCCCCGGGCTGGATCGTGACAATAGATAAGAGTACCAAACACCGACACATGACAGAGAGATTCTCCATACCGATCCTAAGAGGAATCAACAGTGGCTCAGATAGAACATCTTTTGTACTTGTTGCAGCGTAAAGGGGAAGTTGTGCAGCCTCATTATAGATGTAGTTATGAAGATGTGGTATCTATGTAGTTGGTAAATAAATTAAGCCTCAGTACACAAAAGTATTCTCAGTCGTGCTCCCTGACTTGGTTGAAGAAGGGAAATGAGATTTATGTCGACAAGAGATATCTGCTACAATTTTCAATTGGAAACAAGCCGCAAAATCAAGTTTGGTGTGATGTTGTTCCTATGGATGCCATATTCTATTAGAAAAGTACGACAAACGTGTGTTTCATGATGGACAAAAAAATACATACACATTTAACAAGGATGAGAAGCATATTGTACTTCTATCATTAAAGGAATCAATACTCATGAGCAATTAGACATATATTGGAGCCATATTGCCTTGTGCTACCTTCCTATAAGCTATGATATAGGTACCAGTGGGATTTACCTTGGTGATACTAGAAGGCAATGATAAGGAGCCAATAACTGAGGTATTATGACCCTTGCTAGCAAAGTTTCAGGACATCTTGACGGATAGTATGCCACATGGATGGTCACCTTTGCGAGAGATACAACATGCTATATCTTATTCCAAGATCAATGCTTCTCAACCAACAAGCCTATTAGATGCGAACAACTACGTACGAAGAACTATAGAAGCGAGTTAATAATCTGATGGACCAAAGATTAATTCGCAAGGGCACCAGTCCATGTGTTGTGCCTGCATTGATCATGTCAAAAAAGAACGACCTGTGGTGCATGTGCATAGATAAAAGGGTTGTGAACGGGATCACAATGAAATACAGGTTTCCTATTTCTAGGTCGAATGATTTTCTTGATCAATTACACAGAGCCAGTGTCTTTTCCAAGATTGATTTGCGCAATAACTACTATCATATCAAGATGAGACCAAGCGATGAGTGGAAGATAACCTTTAAGACACGAGATGGATTGTATGGGTGACCAATCATGCCCTTTGGGTTGTCCAATTCCCCGAGTATTTTCATGCGACTGATGAACAAAATTTTTTAAGTCATCATTGAAAAATTTGTGGTTGTGTACATTAATGATATCCTGGTGTGCAACAATTTAGAAGAGAAGCACTTATAGCATATGCGCTGAGTTTTTGAGGTTTTTCGGATAGAGCAACTATATGGTCATCTAAAGAAGTGTCATTTTCTTACACCTCATGCTTGTTTTTTGGGATACATCGTTTTAGTTGTCGACATTGATATGTACCATACGAAGATCGAGAGGCTATAGTCATTTACTCAAGTACACCAATTTTATGGTATGATTTCTTTTTACATGAAGTTTACTAGAAATTTCAGCTCAATCGCGACACGTTTAACAGAGCTCCTCAAGTCAGACAAATTGGTGTGGTCAGTGATGTTCGGGTTTGTTTTGATGTTTTGAAGAAACATGAGACTCAAACACTAGTTCTAGCACTTCCATATTTCAATCAAATGTTTGAGGTAAAGTGTGATACCTGTTAAGGAGGATACGCTATTGCATTCTTCAGTGAAAATTTGAACAATTCTAAGAGAGAATATCCTAATTACGACAAAGAATTTTATGCTATTGTGATAGCCACCGATCACTAGAGTTATTACATGTCGGCAAAAGAATTTACTCTCTACATTGATCACGAGTCCCTGAGATTCTTGAATAGTCATAATAAGTTAAAGGGCAGACACACCACATGGGTAAAATTTCTTTCTTCATTTCACTTTGTGCTCAAACATAAAGTGGGGAGTCAGAATAAAGTAGCTGATGCACTGATCCATCGTCACTTATTACTCACTACGATGCAGACTAATAGTGAAGGGAGGTCTGGCAACGACAGGTTGGGGTCGTTGAAGGGGTTGAAGGGAGTGAATTGGAGCATGGGATGGATTCAAGAGAGGAGATTGGACTGTGGGATGGAGTCAAACTAGCACGTGGGACGATTTGAGGAGTTAAGATCAACAGGGAGGGAGCTGATGGAGTTAGCAACTGCGGGTTGGAAGGCAGGATGGTAGCAGCAGGGAAATAGATGTTATGGAGAGAAAGATGTTGCGGGATTGTGGGGAGATAGTCACCACCTCGAAGCAGGTTACAACCAAAGCACCACCCGTACTCAAATACAACCCTAGGAAGGGAGAAACCATGCCGACAACGAAAAATCTGAAATAACATAAGACTGAACCCTAAACAGCAAAGCAACATATTTACAGTATAGATAACTAGGAGGGGAGGGGAGGGGAG